GCTTTTGTTACAGCAGGAAATGCACAGGTGTGAGTAATCACGTTAATTACTGCTCGGTTTGAAGCTGTCCAATGAGATCTTTCAGGGTGTCCGCGGGGTCTTAAAAAGTATTAAAAGTTGATAAATCAATTTAGCGAAAATTAAGGATTATTAAAAAGTATTAAACGGCATTTTCCAAGGTATTACATTTTGTAGCTTGTTTTCAATAAGTATATCAATTGTCCAAAGAGGTTGTATTCTACAGTGTGCCTGAATGTAATCATTGCGTAGGTGTGTAGTGTGATTCTGTGTAGTTTATTTAATGGCATCCCGTTGGATGTGACGTCATCTGANAGCTCCGTTTACGCCGGTTGTTAAACAACATCGTTATGGGGAAATGCAAGTCTGCGTCCAAATGGTTGGAAGATAAGGAGGAAGGACAATCAATACTGTTACAGTATTGATTGTCCTTCCTCCTTATCTTCCAACCATTTGGACGCAGACTTGCATTTCCCCATAACGATGTTGTTTAACAACCGGCGTAAACGGAGCTTCGCGCGCTATCAAGCAGTGAGCGTGAGATGTCCTGTTCAGATGATGTCAAATCCAACGGGATGCCATAAATAAACTACACAGAATCACACTACACACCTACGCAATGATTACATTCAGGCACACTGTAGAATACAACCTCTTTGGACAATTGATATACTTATTGAAAACAAGCTACAAAATGTAATACCTTGGAAAATGCCCTTTAATACTTTTTAATAGCCTTAATTTCACTAAATTGATTTATCAACTTTTAATAATTTTTAAGACCCCGCGTACACCCTGGATATACAAACCAGTGGTACATATTAAACATACATAACCTGAATTCTTTCAGCCTTTTTTTTACTTGAATAATTAACTTGAGGATTGATTTTTAGTGTCTTTGAATCATAATTTAATGAACTAATCATTTCAAAACTAGTTTAAGGAAGTATAAGGAAGTATAAAAAAGACAAATCTTTGCTCAGTTTATTATGGTGTGGCTCGAAATGGAAGTGAAGCGACAACAATAATGGTAGCACTAGTATTTTTCCATCTAGCACCTTTATTTGGTTTTAAAAGAACCTGTTTGTTGTAATTGTATGTATTTAATTTCAGGGATCCCATCGGTATGACAGGCAGTTGATTTGTTGTAATTAATTAATACACTTATATTACATTTAAGGGGCCCTGGCATTATATAAGTTTGAAAAAGTGGAACTTGGAGTTGAAAGGTTTGAGAACTACTGGTGTTACACAATCTGAGGCTGTTATTTGTGCTAAATGCTAATCTTAGCAGGCTATCAAGCTCACAGTGCCAATGCTAACAGGCAGACATTTAGACATAAGGTTTAGCAAGTTCATCATCTTGGTAATGCCAAGTTCAAACTAGAAAATGGTGGCTGATGAGTGCAGCTGGACAAGTCAACCAATATATACAAACAAATACTGTACAAATGTACTCTTAAAGATCAACTTGACCTTCTTCTGATTGTACTACAGGAAAAATGTATTGAAAAAAAAAGAGCAGAAAATCCACCAAACAATCAGGAATTCAAACTCCCAGCAGAACTCTAGTTTCACAGTCATAATGAAATTACACTGGAATGATTGTTTTAATATCCCCTCAGAGGCATTTACCTTTCAGTGCTGGTCCAGCAGCTGCCACCCGGCTTGGGCGCTGTGCCGTAGCGGGGAGAGCAGCGGGGCAGAAGTGTGTGTTGCACGCCCTGGAAGTGACAGGCCTCTGGTGGGGCAGGCAGCCGGCTGCGGGACGGCCCTGCCGGAGACACTGGATGGACCGGGTCTGGACCCCCCCGCCACAGGAAACAGAACACTGAGACAGAAAAAAATAATACAACATGAGAATGACGCACAGAGATATAGAGTTGGAGATCAAGCTTTGAAAAGCTTGTAGGAAGAGGAATTTTCATGAAAAGGAACAGTCGAGGGATGGAGGAAAAGTCGAGGGGTGGACAAAGAAGAGATGAAGAAAACAAACATCCCATCCAGCATGTACATGCCCTCCATTGAGCTGTCAGGAGATATCTTCTCTGGTGGAAACATACACAGATCACAAGCCCCATATCAAGCAGAATAGATCACTGTGCTATAAGAGGTTGCCCTCAAGACTTTTTTGCAAAATAGATAATATAACCCATAGCCACACAACCTGCCCCGATTGACAGAATGGAGCTTTTGGACTGCATCTGAGTCCCATTCCACACACAAGAACGATGCTATGCCTGTGAACTAACACCCTCTACACTGTTCATTCTGCCTCTGAGGTATGTTGGGACATGAGAAGACCCAACCATAGTTACATATTTTGTATTGATTGATTGTTTTAAGAAGTTGTGTTGCCTCGCTCATGATGCCGGGGCCTCCCAGAGAGAGGGGGCCTGGAAAACTAAAATCAATGAAGCAAGTGATGGTGTGAGGTGGAAAATAAATGAAACTCTTTATTTAGTAGATGTGATAGTTTAGAGGCAACTGTTGGCACAATAAGAGGATTTTATAGCAGTTTCTTCCTCTTGACAGGTAAAGAGTCGGGAGTATAAAATGAATAGGAGTCCAATGCTCTGTTAGTGTAAGGAACAGGTTTAAGTGGGCATTTCCCTAGCTGGTTTATGTAAACCCCATGTGGTTCAGTCCAATGTGGTACCCCTACCAGTGGTTTAGTCCAATAAGGGCGGGGACTGTAGGAGGATGTTTGTTGGAAGCAGCTTGTATTTTCTGCTCTTTGGATGTTTCTTAATTTTCTCTGTTATCATTTTCATTCTTGGTTAACAAAACCAACAGACTTCTGTGCCATCCCTTAAAGTGGACCTATCATGCTATATTTAAATAATATAGTGTAGGACCATACCTATATAAGGCATTTTTATACTTTTTATTTTTCAAAATACCAAACAGATCATGCATTTTAGCCATTCCTCATTTCGCTCAATTTAACACTGTCTTTGCATGGGCTGATTCTGTGAGAACAGCACCATCTACAGGCCTGGCATATGTACTACAGCGTCTCCAGCGCTTTCGAACGGCAATGTCTGTGGCTGTCTCCTCCTGATTGGTGGAGTTGGCCCAATAGCCGTAGAGCCACTTCTGTGACGTCAGAGAAGTGTTCAAATCTGGATCAGTCTGTATCAGATCCGTTGCAGCCCCTTTTTAAGAGATTTGGGTATGGGGGAAAATAGAGAGGGTTGTGTTTTCTGACACTTGGTGAGTTCCCTGGAACACCGGGGACACATATTCATGTATAAAAGACGTACAAAAGTGCATTTTGCATGATAGGTCACCTTTAAGTCAACATGTTTGTTCTAGTTAACACCAGTCCCTCTTAAAATTAATACCAGTAATGGTACTGTGTCTTTCATTTCAAACAGAGTTAGTCAAAAAGGCTTCTCGTTTGCTATTTCTACTTTCAAACACAGCTCTTTGTGACAGAGTTTGTTGGCCGTTGCTAGCTAGTTGACAATTATTAGTTGATATATTAGTTTCATTGGTTGAACATTCCTTCCCTGGCTGAATACCTCCATCTAAATGAGATAGTTGTTCAATGGGATACTGAATATGTAGCAATATATTGCTAAAAGAAGATCAAACCTCACCTCCAAAATCCAATAAATACATGGCTGCTAACCAGAAAACGAATGCAGTACATTGATGATATGCTGCTTGACTTTTAAAGCAACCATCAGTATCTGTACAATAGTGATAAAACAAAAAAGAATCTGATTTGATATACTAAAAAAACATATATATGTTAATTATGTAGATCGGAAAAGTCTACTTTTTGTATAAACTACTATAAATGTATTATGTATAAGCAAGCAAGACTTGTTTTTCTAATGAATTCAAAACATGTATAACATTCAAAGACTGTTCAAACCACAGCTTTTTTAAATTATCCAACTTTTACTGTTAAATCTTTTATTATATCAGGGGTGCAATGATTTCTTATTCATTGAGGGGGAAAGATCTTTCTCAACTCACACTTTAATCTAGTATTTTTGCAAACACCAAAGTTATGTGGTCCAATGCGACAACGGCTATTATTTTCCACTTTGCAATTAAATTGGAAGAAAGAAAATAAATAGTTTGCCTTTTGGCAAAATATATATTTTTAAGGAAAAACTGCACAATGTCTTTTGTTATAAGCAAGGCAAACACTGTTTGAATTGTTGCTTTGTTTGGGGTTATAGGAAGAATTGCAAGAAAGACCCTCCACAGTAAATGCAGAGTATCTCTCTCACTAGGAGTCTGTAGTGTGACTTGTAGACATACAACGTTTTTAATAACTTCAGCCACATTCTATTTACACGTACATTTTTCCTCAGCTAACTGTCTTCATGGCTGTTGAGGACAATTTCAAGTTCTCCGCTTGTTGAATTTTCTAACTATCATCTGTGTAGTAATACTACAGCGCTACAGTATGTGTGGGAGGAAATCTACATATTGGAAGAGTGTCAGCTGGAAAGCATGTGTAGTACTAAAAGTCTCTCAGGTAAACAGGTTAAGATCAAAGCCTGAGCAAAAACATACCTGTTGCCAGGGAGAGGAGTACCAGCCGAGGACCACAGGGCCACTCCTGCCGGCGATCACCCGAGGGACCTCCGGGCAGGGGCCTCGGTTGCAGCCCTGCTGGAGATCCACTAGGGGTTTGGCCATGTTTCTGCACCTCCGTATGGGGAACTCCACATACCTGAATGGCAGAGGAGAGTTTAAAGCAGTCTGAAAAACAGTTAACTACTGCTGTGTCTCAAATTGCGTAATGCTGTACAGTACTTATATTGGCTGTCTTAAAAGCATAAGTGTGCCCCAATGTGAAGGATAGCAAAAATATTGGCTATGTAAAGGAAGTTGTGTAAATAAAAGCTACAATTTGGAAGTGTCAGCAGGAAGGCATGTGTTGCTCTAAAAAGGGAGTCCAGTGGTTGGCTTCCAGCCACAATTGCTCCAGTGAACACAACAATACAGAGCTCTCAAGTCTCACGCACTTGGCGTGAGACACACGCATTTCACTCCATTCACACGCCACACCTTGTATTTCTCACGCAGAGATTTCTTTCCAGTGTAACCGCCCACCAAGTTGCGCCGCAATTTTGTAAACAAACTAGGCTTGTTTGAGACGCGTGCACTCTGTAGCGATACAGAGGGCTTCATACTCCACTAGCACCCCCCCCCCCCCCATTGACATTCGCGGTACAGAGGGCTTTATGGGAACTTTGAGGGGAGCCAGAAGTTGGAGTACCAAACACCGCTGCCAAAATCTCACTCTGAACTCTGTTCAAAACTTGAGAGCCCTGACAATATACAAATAAAAGTTATACATGTGGGTTTTATTTTCGCAATGTAATACACGTACTGGATACTGGTGTCAAAAAGAAGTCGTCGCTATTTTTATTGGGTTAAGCAGTCTGTAGCCTAATGATTTGTAAAAATCCAAACAAAAATGTTGCTAGCTAGCTAACTAGCCAACAGAAGCTAGCAGCATCGTCGCTTCTGGTGAGGTCACAGCAGCGATTGTGGGATTCAAAACCAAGACCACTGGAAATTCAGACACAAATGTTTATAGAGTACAACATGGCAGTGTACTTTGGGAAGTATTCAAATTGAGACACAGCTATACGTGCAGATCCATTAAAGTGTCTTAATGTGCAGTTAGCGGAACATACCCTCCCTGTGAGTCTCTTTCCCCGCAGCGAAGCTCTCTCTTCTGGGTGCCTGAGCCACAAGACCTGGAGCACTGAAACAGAGGTCAGGCGAAAGGGAACATTTTAGTGCAATACTACGAGATACCATAGCAGGAGACACTACAAGAGACACTACTAAAAGTGCTCTACTGTGTATTAACCAGTCATTTTATGTGATGAGCAGACATATTATATGTGTGAGCATCTTGTCCGTGTCTGGCTCTTTTTTTATAAATCCATAACCACTGATCTGGGAGCTTAGTGTCTTCTTATCTTGCACTTGTACTTGTACTGCAACCTCACCCTTACACTAACCTTCATTCATTCCATATTCAGCAACCTTCAGCCTGTAACCGATTGCCCTCTATCTCACTCAAACTGCTGTACTTAACAGAAAGGAATATGAATATACAGCACAGAGGCAAGTTCAAAAATCTTTGCCACAAACACAAAGAGAATATATGATGAGACCGTCAAATACGTGTAGCGGGTCGTAATCATTTAAAAAAAAGACTTGTGACACACGTCCCAGTTTTTTTCAAGGATGTTGATAAGATTCGGAGAGAGCGAACATGTCTTGAAAATTGTAAGCAAATCCTTTATGGAGTTTATTCTCTCAATTTTATTTGATGGCATGGAAGCATTTATAATCCCAGGAGTAAACTGGCAAGATGGCTGAGCAAAGCATGGTACAAAGAGTAAACATTTCAGCAGACTTATCTGAATCCTCTCTACTATAAGATATAACCCCAAACCCTTGTCATATCTTGTTAAGAAAATGATCTTTTCACGTTACGTTAAATAATGGTAATGATATGGATCATTTATTTGTCGTGGTGGCAGTTAAACACCTTCCATCACTACTCCTGCTAAGGCTTGATATCTCTTTCTTCCTACCTCTCCCCATTGAGTCGGGAGCCACTGCAGCCTCTCGTTCTTGGGGCAGCGGCGCAGGACGCAGGTCTCCTGGGGTTTGGGTCTGTGGTGCTGTCTGCACATGCTGTCAGGCACCACCACCGCTTTCGCCCCGGGATCAGTGCTGCGGCAGAACACGGTCCGCTTCCTCAGGCCCCGGCCACAGGTCTTTGAGCACTGTGAGTGGACAAGAAGAAAGTAAAATATGGTACAGAAGTCTTCCACATACATAGGAGCATCAGCAGAAGATAAGTTATTCAATGGGCAAATGTTTAAATAAATAAAGTATTTTCTGCCACTAGGGGTCTCTCAAACATAACCATAAAATAAGATGTTGCCATTTCGTGAAGTAGCTTGGGATCATGGGATCAAAGGTTGATGATATTCGTTCTTCATTTTCCGACTCACCATTAGTCATCACTGGGTCACCAGTCCCACCGTTCACCCACACACTAACCTTCTTTTCCCCTCTCTCTCCAAGTGAGGTTCTTACCCTTATTACCTCTGCCCGTCCTACCACCTGTCCTCTGGACCCTATCCCCTCAAACCCATCTCATCAATACTTCTCTAACTTCTGGTCACTTTCCAAACAGTCTCAAGGAGGCAAGAGTAAACCCTCTCCTAAAGAAACCCATTCTCAACCCGTCTGATGTTATAAACCACAGGCCAGTCTCTCTCCTCCCATT